CAGAAAATTAGCAACATACGAATAATCTATTTTTTTGCATTCCCCCATCTTACCCCCCCGCACTTTCTTTCCACAGGAAAGAAAATTGAAACAGACTATTAACTGAAAAGATCATCTTAAATTTCTTCGTCTATTACCGGTGCGAGCTGAAAAAGAAAAGAGGATTTGCAAAAGAAATCGTCACCAGGATGTTTCAAAGCAGTTACAGAATTAAATGAAAACTTTTCTTCCCAAGCCACAAACAAGGCGCTTTAGCCACTAAGCTTCCTTTTCTTTTGGTGGATCTGATTATCAACGCCGCATAAACCCCGAGTTTTACTAACGGGACCATACGGACGTGTATCTGCACGCAGAGACGGCGCTCTAACGCGTGTATCTCCGTGGAAATTACACGGGTGAAACGTAGACTAGTAAATATCTGAACTACACTCCCAGACTGTGCTCTGCTTAGTATCCTATTCTCTCCATAGTTAGGTGTCTCCTTTCAACATCTCTGTCATCTCCATTTGAAGATATTTTCAGCGGTTTATCACTGCCATCTCCAGCCCTGCGCATTTGCAGCAGGTTATCAAAATTGCCAGTCCCCCCTGGCTGATGGGTTGCACTGATTACCATCACTGCCCTCAGATATTTGGTGCGGATTCCCAGCACTGCAATATCCACTCTTAGGACATCTGGAGCAGATCAAAATCACTGACTTCATTTTTCAGTAGAGTCAGTGTTAAAGCTTCACACAGCCTCTTCGCAAACGTACTCTGTAATCAACTCCCGCAGAACCAGCCTTCAGTTAAAATTCGGCCAAGCAGCGACCCCTATGTCTGGATTTGCATGTCTTATCGGACCCCTATCTAAACTGATTTGTTAATAATAAAGAGAAAATCTCTTGGCACTGGATGCATAGCCTTAAGAAACTGGAAGGATCACACTGTCTTAGCAAACTCCTTCTCAAGAAAGGCTCTTTAAGGAGAAGTTTATCTGCCCAATGATCTTTGAATTAGATGAGCATGGCCATTTAGGTCGATTTACTTTAAACAGTATACAATTTATTTTAAGCGATTACCTCGGGAATAATCACATTATGCCCAGAGCTGTTAGGTGTTTCTCTCCCTCCTGATTTCAGATGTACATCCTCTCTCCAACGGGAAGGTGACTACTTTTCACTCTCAGCCCAAACCCTTTTTTGCTACGTGACTGTTCATCGTCTTTAAAAACGTTGTTCGGTTAATGAGTTGGCACCGTACTCCTTTTTGTTAGGTCTTGCCGAAAGTTAAAGAGATGTTCAACACTGATCTTGGGGGGGGGGGGGGAATAAAAGGAAGATATTTTTTCCCGAAATATGGTTAAAATTACTTTTACTTTTTTACAGTATTTTAGTCTATCAAAAATGTCAAGCTAATTTATGAATAGGAGGGGTCGATCACGCCAACGTTTTGGACTGTTTAGGTCGTGGGTTTAGGGAAAGATTTTCCTGGAGCTTCTGGCAGCTGCTGCTGATGTTTGTAATTTTCCGTACAGTTTCGTTCTTTTCGCACTTTTGTTAATAAGCTCTGCTATAGGTCTTGTATGGGAGGAAATAAACCCAGAATCTCCCAGACCTTCACTAAACTGATTTTCAAGCTAAGTAGCTTAGTGTAGCAGCTCTGGTCCCAGCTTACTTGCACAAGGGGGAAAAAAATTAAAAAGGACTTTGAAAGGTTGTCTACTAAAGTGACTTAATAAACCGTCAGGAAAAAAATGGGCAATGTCCAGTGCAGAAGCAGGAATCGCGTGGTAAGGGATTGGCATTTTCTGATCAGAATTGTGCATAATTAATGGCGTTCGCAGGACCCTGCTCACCCTTGCGCGAATAACTTTGTAGATGAGGAACAGAGCTTTCCTACCAGTCTTACAAATTTCCACCTCTTTGACGGGGGATTTTTTTTTTTTTTAATTATTTATTCTCCAAATCACTGTTATGGGTAACTTGCGTTTTGTATTTATTTGCTCTACTTCCACTCAGGGTGAACATAGCAAAGCTCTCCCCAAAAAGATGCTGGGCTGATAGAAAAGCAAATGAGACTTTTCCCCTTTTCCTTTCCCTTCTTCTTCCTTTTTCTTTCCTTTTTTTTTTTTTTTTTTCCTATTTTTTCCCTCCCTGAACCGATCTGAGCAGGATGAGACCGGGTGGGGGAGGGGATGATTCACATTTCTTAAGCTTCCAAGTGGAAACCTTTCCTGGATACACATTCCACACAGATCTAAAGCGCTAAGAAGATTTCGGCAGCGTCGGTACCTTATCCCACCTTTATTTACCTGCAGCCCTTGTAATGTGACACTTCCATTCTCAAAATAAGGCTGTAAATTTCAAACCCCACTCAGCTCTGTTATGGCAGCGCATTTTTTTCTGAGTCGCTCTCCTGCTTTGAGGGTGAGATTTTGGAGCGGAGCAGGGGAGGTACTCCTCTCCCTGTTAGACATAGGAAGGGGAAAGTTCGTTATTTCCAGCTGATGGGGGAAGGAAGTTTAATCGACACCGTGAAACGCAGCGGTTCCTTGGAGCGGAGAGGGAAGGGTTGGCCGGGGTTGGAGACACCCGGCGGGGGCGTTGGCATGAGGGGAGGCATATTCCTCCGCTCCCGCGGCGGCCGGTCCCCGGCGGGAACCGGGCTGCAGGGGAGCTTGCTGCTGCAAGGTGGGAGAGGGGGAGAGAAGCCCAGCGGAGCGGCCCGGCCCTTAGAGGTGGTTCTCGATCTGGGCTCTGGAAAAGAACGGAGACACTCGTCGTTCCCCACACCACACGCCTCCTTCTTCCCTTCCCCCTTTCCCCCGCCAAACACTTGCATCCCAAGAAGCCGCGGGCCTTCGCGTCTGCGGCCCCTCCCGCCGTCCCTTAAGGAAGAGCTCGGCCGCCCCTTCAGCACAAAGACGGAGCTCCTGGGCGGCGGGGATCGCGGCGGTGAGGGCAGGGCCGGGGGCGGCCGCTCCGCGCCCCTCCGCAGGGTCGCTCCACTGGGGCGGCCCAGGGACAGCAACAGCGCCCTGCCCGGCCCTGCCGTGCCGTCCCCTCTCCCGGCAGAGCAGGAGCGCCAGCTGGAGTCGTGGGGCAGAGCGCCCCGCGGCTGTCCCACCGCGGCTGGGAAGGTCGGGACAAGAAACGTCCAGCCTGTGGTCCGCCCCCCCCCCGCGCTCCTCGTTCTTCCCAGTGGGGGGGTTGGGAGATCCCCGTTAGCGGTAGGGAAAGTTTGCGGTGCCGGCCGGGCGGTGTGAGGCTCTGCTGGTCCCGGCGCTGTTCGGGCGAGCCCCACCACGTCGGGGAACCGGACAATACTCAGGCAGGGCACAGCGGTGAAAAGCCCTCTCGGTCCCTTGCAGGGGAGTCCTTTGTCTCCCGTTGCACCTTCCACCCCTCTCCAAGGGGGAAAAGGAGAAGAAGAGGGGGAAAATCCTCTCCTCTAATCATTATTGTTAATGATCATAATGACAACAGCTCGTTTTGGTCCCTTCGTGTGTCTCCCCCCCCCATACCCCCTCCCTCCCCCACCCTGCTTCCCACCGATGCGTTTCCTTTGGTCCCCACTGATACGGGTGGATGGAAGTTTTGACAATCTACGAGGCACCCGGCTTCCCCTTACCCTCCACGCCCTCTCGAGAGCGAGGGCTGGAGGTCTTCTGTGCCCCTCGGCATACATGTCGCCGTTGTTGTTTTGCGGGATTATTTATTGCTAATATTCCGAGAACTGTCGCAATGTCTGTGATAATTGTCCCTGAGTGTCAATCCGTCGGCAGGGCATGAGGAGGAGAAAGGGCGGCGGGGAGGATCACATCTCTGCGGGTCTTTTTTTTTTCTGCATTTTTTGTTCCAAGTAAAAATTCTTCTGGGATGAACTGCTAGGAGCCTCTTGACTTTCAGTAAAGTTGCGTGTATGTGTTCGTGTGTGAATGGCGTTTGTGGGTTGCTATAGATAGATCGCATTTATTTATTTATTTATTTATCTGCCTTTTTTTTTTTTTTCCTTAGTTGTAAATTGTTATAAGCCGCACGGCTGCAAGGCCCCCTTTTCCTCTCACGGCCACTCTCGTTTGTTCCCGAGTCCAACGACGACAAGGGGGACTCAATGTTAAAGGTGGAAGAAAAAAAAAAAAAAAAAAAAAAACAACAACCCAGCAACACAGTTGTTTTTGTTAAAAGGGGACACGCTAAGGCTGCGAAACAGCAAAACCCCAATGTTGGACAGCTGTAAAATCGTGTAGACAGGTTGTCATACAGCAGTGGGGGCTTTTCTGAAAGGAGCCCATTGCTAAACATTAAGTACACACAGAGCCCGGCAGAGCAGCTGCGCGGACACACGCACACGCGCGCACACACACACACGCACACGCAGGCACCGAGGCAGCGGCCCGGGCTGGGCTGAGCACCACGTGCTGCACCGAGGGGGGCGGCGGGCAAGGGGGGGGGGTGGAGGCGCGGGGCGGTGCTTGCAGCTCAAGTGGGTGCCAATCAAAACATCAACTTCAAATTGTATCTGAAAGATCAGCCTAGGACCTAAGGGCAGACACATCAGTTGGAGCTCAATTGTTGATCAGATCACATCTAAGGGATTTAGGAGCACAGAAGAGCCGAGATTTGAGGAAAGACGCCCCACTGAATCCTTCCACACTCCTCCTCCTCCTCCATACCTAGGGTGCAATATATCTCTGACAGAAAGAAATCAGAACGAAAAAAGAAAATTATCGGCTCGATTTCTGTTCTCTCGCCCTGCCTGACTCCAGTAAAGAGAGAGGGGGGAGGAAAAAAGAAAGAGAGAGAGAGATCCAAGAAGCCCGGGTTTGTTCCGCTCCCCTCCCCGGCTCTTCAGCAGGCTCCCTCCTCCCACTTTTTTTTTTTTTTTTTTTTTTTAAATAATTCCCCCCCCCCTCCCCCCCCTCGTTCTGATTTCTTTCTGTTTTTTTTATATTTCTGCCGCTTCTGTTGCTGCCGCCAGTGCTGCCGCCGCCGCCGCCTCTGTGCCCGCGCCCCGGAGATGTCCTTCCCCCAGCTGGGCTACCCGCAGTATCTCAGCGCCAGCCAGGCGGTGTACGGGAGCGACCGGCCCGGGGTCCTGGCTGCCGCCGCCGCAGCCGCCGCCGCCGCCGCTGCCGCCTCGGGCCGGCCCGCGGGCGCCGAGCTGGGCAGCGGCTCGGCCGCTGTCACCTCGGTGCTGGGCATGTACGCTAGTCCCTACAGCGCCCCCAACTACAGCGCCTTCCTGCCCTACACCGCAGACCTCGGCCTTTTCTCCCAGATGGTGAGTGAGCACCGCGCTGCCCCCCGCGCTGGCCCAGGCCCTCGGGGCGATGGGGCCGGGGCAACTGGGGAGCTGGGGGCGGGCGGAGGCCGCGAAGCCAAGCGCGGCGGGCGGCGGGGCGGCTGTGGGGGCGGCTTACGCCCGGCCCGGGGTCCGCTGCGGAGAGGGGAGTGTGTCTGCCGGCGGGTCTGCGAAGCAGAGAGGGGCCGGGGGCGGCGGGCCAGGTCTGCAGAAGTCCCCGTCCTCCCCGTCGTTTTCCAGCCGGGCAAAACTCCTCCGAGTTTTTCTTGGCAGTGAAAGGGCTGTCCAGGGCTCCTGCCTTCGTGTTGTCGGCTTTCCTTAGCAACTCGGCTTTTTTTTTTTTCTTCGTGTTGTTAGTGTTGTTGTTGACGGGTGATATTGTCGGTCCTGCTGTTTCAATGGGCTTTCCAGCGCGCTCCTCTTTCCGCCTGGTACTTTTCTTTGCCGCCGAGCAATAAACAGGTTCCGTCTGAAAGGCCAAAGTCTCGGTACCTGTGGCGCCAGTTTATTTCAAGGCATTTTCCTTAAGCCTTAAAAATGGGCCGCTCTGTTATCTGAACTTTTCGTACTCTGATTATGGCGAGTATCACAGATGGGATTTGCATTAAGCGGAGGAGGGTATCTCCATCCCATTATACGCATCGGAGCAGAAAGGCATATTGGCGTTAACTTTAAAACAAATTGAAATCACCCAGACTGTCCTCTGGCTTCTTTCCCCCTTTTCTTTAGGACGTAATAGTTAGAAAATGAGGCACATTATTTTAAAGTAACTATTTTTATCTCCGGTATCGTTTAAACGTTTTCGTTGCTGATATCTCCAAAGTTCTCAGCGGCGGTACACCATAGGTTCCATTTCATTTTCTAAATGTCTCTCTCTTCTCTCTCCCCGACACATAAAAGTGTGAATATTTATAACTGGGTGAATGCAAGGCATAACTTATTTGGGTTTTTAATACATATATGTAGGCAAGGAGGTAGGTACGTTGTTGAACAAGGTTCAGCATCTGAAAACAGATAATTTTGCTGCTGCAAACATTTCCTACGAAGTCACTTTTACAGCATGTATTTCCTACTTTTTTTTTCTCCTTTTTTTTCCTCTTTAACCTTGATTTTGGAAATGCAGTAAAATTTGAGACGGAAGCAATGAGTGATTTACAAGTGGCTTCTTCAAAAGAATTCCCAACAGAGATTACACAAAAATATCATTTCAGCAACAATAACAAAAGACAGCGAAATAAAGGGAGTGCAGAAAGCCCACCTTGTAACACATTAAAAAAATTACGCCGGACTACTCCTTCTGTATAAGCAGTGTCTCTGAAATTAAAATATATGACCGTTTTTAACTGTTTGACAAAGTTAAATTAGTTTCTTCGCAGACATTATTGAAGAGGTCCATTTCTAAGGCTGACATAAATTACGACAGAGTAATACTAAGAATGTATTTCTGGACTATGAAAAAAAGAGACATTGCAATACAAGCAATGAAGAAAGAAAACTGCTTGAAATGTTAGCTATTTTGGAACAGTTCCCATTCCTACTCGCAAAGTATCCTGGTATTTTATTATAGTGATTTACCATGACAGTGATATCTTGAAATAAATTCTGAATTTCTGAAAAATTTTAAACCAAGAGCTAAAATATTAGGTTAATATCTGAGCAATTTGCGGTAATAATGAGGCCTAATGAGGTTGCTAGAAAGATAAAATGTTATTTACCAAACACCTGATGGGATAATTTGACTTGCTGTGTTTTACTACTGATGATAAAAAGAATATTGATTGCAAATAAATCACCGCCTCTAAACGCTTGTAAACAATTTGCGTTTGCTCTGGCCAGATCAAAGTAAAACTTATGAGATAAAGTGTCTGCATATCCGTATTCTACAATGCGTGGATCACTTTTCATTCCAGAGTTTAAAGGCTCTTCGAACAGTTAGAAGTTAATGTTTTACTCCAGAATCTTGGTGTATGATCTGGGGAGCGGGGGTGGTGTTGTTAGCTTGTGTGTGGAAAATCTTTTATGTTATTATTGTCTTTGTACTGAAGTTGTGCATTCATGTCCCCAGTCTCGCCTCACTAGGGGCAAAAATAAAGAATGCTGTGCATGCATTTGTAGCATCCTCCTGGATAGTTTGCAGATAAATCCGACGCTGTGCGCGGGCATTAGTTTGTAAGTGTGGTGTAGTACTAGTTTTATCTGTCTGATAATTTCAAGGGCACAGTAAATTGTCTCGCCGAGGCGAAGTTCCTGCATTTCCATCGTTTGATTTGACTTGATTTTCGGAGAAAATATGGACGATGTCTGTCAGAGCCCCGCTTAGCATCTCTCTTTCCTTTTTCTGCAAGAAAGGGGAATCATTTGGGAACAGTCTCTGACCTAAACGTGAAGAGCCTGGAGCGGGGAGGGCCGAATTCGGCTGTGAAGACCTTTTGCACCGCTGAAAGGCGTATTCCGGCTCCCGGAGTAGCCTATTCAGGTCTGTTAGAGACGCTAACGAGATAATTGATGTGCTTTTTCCTCTCCGCTTGTCTGAATGTGTTGCAGGGTTCCCAGTACGAGCTGAAAGATAATCCGGGTGTCCACCCTGCTACTTTTGCTGCCCACACTGCCCCCGGCTATTATCCCTATGGACAGTTCCAATACGGGGACCCGGGACGGCCCAAAAATGCCACTCGGGAGAGCACCAGCACCCTCAAGGCCTGGCTCAACGAGCACCGCAAGAACCCTTACCCCACCAAGGGCGAGAAGATCATGCTGGCCATCATCACCAAGATGACCCTCACCCAGGTCTCCACCTGGTTTGCCAACGCCCGCCGGCGGCTCAAGAAGGAGAACAAGGTGACCTGGGGCTCCAGGAGTAAGGACCAAGAAGATGCAAACCTCTTCGGGAGTGACAATGAGGGGGACCCCGAGAAGAACGAAGATGATGAGGAAATTGACCTGGAGAGCATAGATATAGATAAAATCGATGAGAACGATGGGGAGCAGAGCAATGAGGAAGAGGAGGAGAAGCCTGAGCTCCTGAGACAAAGCAGTGAAGAGGAGCACTTGGAAAAGGAAAAGGATTTGGCACTGTCAGGGTCTGAAGGGCTGAAACCCAAAGATGCACTGGCCATGGTGAAGGAAGCCTCGGACAACAGCACCAGAATTATCAGTCCCGGGGGACCGAACAATTTACAGATGCCATCTCACAGCAAACCCAAGATTTGGTCTTTGGCAGAGACAGCAACCAGTCCTGATGGTGCCCTGAAATCTTCTCCTCCTCCACCCCCTCCTCCCCAGGTTAACCACACTTCTCCTCAGATCCAGCACCCTGCTTTTCTCCCTAGCCATGGACTGTACACATGTCAGATTGGCAAATTTCACAACTGGACAAATGGGGCGTTCCTCACTCAGAGTTCCCTGCTAAACGTGAGGTCTTTTTTGGGAGTAAATCACCACCATGCTGCTCATCACAATCACCACCTCCAGGCCCAGCAACCATCTTCTGTTTTAACAGCAACCCTGGGAACCCTAAGCAGTGAAAAACCTTCAGAGAGGACCAGTCCCAAACACATAGGTAATTAATGCATCAGGCATTCACCTCTCCCCCCACCCCCAACATATATATATGAACTTCTTGGGAAATGGTGTCACATTTAGCCCTGTGGAATTGATTGCTTTTAACTGAGTTACAGTTTACTCTAGCGTTTATTTCTGGCCCCCCTCCCAAGCATGTTGATTTCATATATTAAGCCCATTTCATGTAGCCTATTACATTCCCAACCTATACGCCCATCAAGTCAAATGAGAGTGCAGGAATACCACTGTGAAATGTATAGTTTTGAGTTTGCTTTACTTCCCTCCTTCATGACCCTCATCACCCAGCAATTTCAATGACACTAAAAATGTGTCAAGAAAAGCTTGCAGACTCCTTAAATACTGAAAGTAGGGAATAGTGCTGTACACGCATGCACACACATATCTACATATGTCTCAACAGGAGAGTGAGAGGGACACTCTGCACACTGTCCAGATTCTTATTGTTGTTATTCTAAAATGTTTCTCTTGTTTTGTTTCTTTTTCTTTTTCTCTTTCCTTTCCCCCCCCCCCCCCCCCCCCCCCCCCCCCTCCCCGCCCCGTCTCCTTCTAGAAAGAGAAAATGTACCAAGAACTGACTCCCCACCCCAGCCGCTAAAATCGCCCTTCCAGCCCGTCCGTGACAAGTGAGTTTGTTTGTTTGTTTTCACTGCAGGAATGCTACTTATGCGGAAACAGTGTTTGAATAATAAAGACTAATTATAACACCTAATCATCACCATAATAATACATACAGACAATAAAAACAGCACAGGAGTGGCTGTAATCTTTTCAAACTTAAACTAAATTGCAATTGTACATAGCCAGACTGTAACTTTTCTAAAACTTAACAGACCTCAAAGATCTTGTGTTAATTACACCAGTCAGAATGATTTTTTTTGGAATTATCTAACACTAGGATGCTATAGGAATAGATGGGCAATTAAAAAAAAAAAAAAAAAGATATTTTTTTCTGAAAGATTGTTACGTCTTTTTTTTTCCTCCCTTCCCCCCTGCAGCTCTTTGGCTCAGCAAGAGGGAACACCGAGAATTTTAACAGCTCTCCCTTCTGCTTGATTAAATGATTTGGTGAAAAAATATTACAGAGACTGGTATTAAGGACAGAGAAAAAAAAAAGGAAACGGTATAAACGACTCCCATCAATCTCTTTTTGCAATAAGGTGGTGCAAATCCATAAAAGCGATTACACAAATCTGTAGATGGATCCCCTTCCTCATTGTACCATTTCAGATCGTGTTATTCTAACCATTCTTGGATTATTTGTTTGGTAAATGTTTCCCATGTGTTTGTGGGGGTTTTTTGTTTGGTTTTTTTTTTTTTTCTGTATATACAGTGATTTCAGATTGTAAATAACACGTCAGCAAAACTTGTCTAAATCATATATTTTTGTCTAATAAACTAAATGAAATTATGAACTCTCTTCAGGTATGTATTCTGTTGCTGCAGATCTTATACATATATTACAAATCTATTCAAGCATTTATAACTTGTTTCCTAAAAAGTCAAGTCTCTTTAGCTTTGGGTAACTGAAACTTAAAACAGCAAATCCCAGCTTTTAGTGACTCTTAGAGCTATTTTGCCGAACACAAGCTGCGAGCTTTCTTTTTCATGCACGCAAATTTAAGAAGTTGAGTGAAGCTGGTTTTTGACTAGCAAAATTAAAGATATTTTTTTCTATTGTGATGAACGAGATGTGTTGTGTAGTATCCATTTTCCGGACATAAATGGGCCTGACACTTATGTTATAAAATACATTCTTAAAATGAAAGGGACAAGTTTTCTCATAGTTCCTTAGTTTGCTGTCCAAACTGGTTCCTAATTTGGGTCAAGAGCTTTACCGCTGTGGTATACATTCTTACCGAAGACGAAAAAAATCATAGTTTAGGAAAAAGAATTATTTGTAATGATCTGCACTTTAAATAAACACAGAAGAAATATGACTGTAAAAGATGTTTTCCTGTGAGACTAAACACAATCTTAACATTTAGAAGAAAAAAAAAAAAAAAGGCAGCTCTTACATGTCTCAAAAGAAAGTTCTGCCATTCCGATCTGTTGGTTAAAAATAGAGACAGGTTTTATAAAGGCATTAATCTTCCAAAGATGGTCCGTTAAAATGTGTAATATTTTGAGTGTTTACTTCTTTTTTTCTCCTAAATGAGAACATTAAATGAGCATTGAGGTGCTAATAAGATACCAGATGGTTGTTGATGGTGGAAAATGGAAAGAAGCAGCTGGGAAAGTCATTAAGAAATAATGCGGTGACGCCCTATCCAAACTGAACCAACCTCAAACCAGGACTTGTCGGAAGCAAGATGAGATTTTTCAAATAAAATATTAATTAAATTCTTGTGAGAGATCAGAATATTGATCCTGATTTAGCTGCAAAATCATCTCAGTCAAAGAGCAGTCTCGGTAAACTATGGCTTAGAGATCTGTTGGCAAAGTGGTGGAGGCGGTGGACTCCTACTTTTTGCGCTTTTTTCATGGAGCAGAGAAACAGGTCAGGCTAAATAGATTTTGTGAGGGATATCTGAAGGAGAGTTTCTGAAAAGAGACTCATTTTGACATCCTGCCGCTCCCAGCATACTATCAATTAGGGTTTTTTGTGGCCTTTAGTTGTTTGGATTTTGTTTCCCCTTTTCCTAAGTCCCGGATAGTCTCGTGGTAGTCGTTGTTGGTAACTGTTCCAACAAAAGAGAGTATTACACTTTTTACCAAACCAGAATAATTTAACCTTCAGGGACAGGGAAGTCGTATTTAAAAAATAAAAAAAAAAAAAGGAAGAAGAAAGTCTTCACGCCTGTAGAGCCAAACAGTGCGTCAGGTGTAAACCTGACGCAATTGCTATCTCTGTCATATCAATTCAGATGAAATCGTCGCAGTCCTGCACTGGTTACCCCTCGTCCCCGCTCAGGGCCGGTTCCCCCATTCCTCTCGGGAGGCGCGACCGGCCCCAAGCAACCTGGCGGTCCGGAGTGACGCCACCGCCGGGGACAGATCCCGACGACCCCAACCCCACTCCGCCGCGCGTTTGGCTGTCATGGACTGGCTCCGCTCCTCCAAGGTGAAGACGGCATCTAAAAGGCGCGCAGAGATGCTCTGCGAGGCGGAGCGAGTGCGGCGGTATCGAACTGGCCTGGGGGAGCGGAGTGAGGACTACGGCGTGGCATAGGACTGTCAGGGGGGACTTGAACTGTAGGCAGCAGAGGAGCGTGAGCGTGTGAACCTCGTCTGTGTGGGGGCATTCCCGCTCCCTGACCGCCCCCGCCAAGTCGAGCGGTTCCGAGCGGTGCTGAGCCGAGCCCAGCGGGGCGCAGGCCGGGCTTTGGGCGGGCTCGCAGCGCCCTCTGTGGGCTGCGGGCGGCGCCGTCCCCTCGCCCGGCCCGACGCCAGCAAATGTGCCGGCCCGCGGCTCTGCTCAGCTGGGCTGGAGAGGAGGAGGCTGCCCGCCTTGAATCCAGCCAGGAAGCCAGCAACATCCTCCGGAGTGTGCTTCCAGTTTTGATTATCCTCCGGAGAGTGATAATTCCCAGTAGTTATCTGGTTGGCAGGTTTCCGCCTTTGGAAGCCTCAGCATCTCTAGACCAGACTCTGCTGCAGAACTGGATTTTTTTTTTTCTCATTTGCTTATTTGAATTTCGCACTACCTTCCCCCTTTCCCCCTCCCCCCCCCAGTAACTCTAACAATTGTGACGCTTCCTTCCCAACCCAGATGTTATCGGGGGGGGGGGGGGGGGGGGGGGGGGGGGCGGTGAATGAAGCCCAGATAGGTTAGCACCGTTCTCCCCACCGCTCCCGGAGCGTTTGACGGGGGAAGCAACCGGCTCCTAGCTCTCCCCTAGCTGGCAAAGGCGGAGGCGGCCTGGGAGCTGAATGCTGGCTGCGGGAGGAGCGCGCCCAGGGCTACGGGCTGCCTGCTCGAACGGAGCTTGCTTGCGGCGCTCCGAAAGTTTTTGGACAGGAGCTCAGGTGGCTTCCCCTTAGAAAAGGGAAAACCGAAAAGTCATAAGGTCTGCTGAGAAGCCCCGTGTTAAGTGAGAAAAGCTCTGGCATGGCTGCGTGCCTCAGTGCCCAGTAGACCCGCAGCTTCCGAGGGCCGCTGCCTCAGCTTAGCCAGCACCTGGAGGAGAGGGGTGATCGCGTTTCCCTTCCCCCGCAGGCCACAGCGAGGTGGCCATTTCTCCTACAGGAAGTTTCAGATAGAGCGGACATGTGCGACCGGTCATTGCGTTACCGCACCTTTGGAGGCTGCTGGGGTGCGGTGCGGAGCCCGGGCCGGGCGGGACTCCCACACACCGCCCCCGCCCCGGTTTTAGGAAGGAGCGGGGACTTCATAATCCCGAGGTTTCGCTTGTCACGTGAACCGCGCTAGGAATGACCGTGTACGTCACCCTAGAAGGAAAATAATTTGTAGTTTTTCTGTCATACTTTCCTTGAGATCCACCCCGGCAGTTGTATACCAACAAATACCAGAGTGAAGGGAGAATACCAAAGAAGCTTAAGCTAAACGATTTGCCTTAATTGGGAATGCTTCGAGCTGATAAGAGTAAATTAGAAAGTACTACTTTCCAAGCTTTTTTTTTTTTTCAATAATGTGACCGTATCCGAACCTGATAAACCAAGTCAATAAGAAAATTTCCATTGTATCGGATGGGAACTACAAGGAGCAATACTTCTTTCAGCACAACAACCTAGCTCCAAGATACATTTTCGTGCTACTTAAAAGGCTGCCAGAAAACATTGTTTTATACGTTTGCATAATCCTCCATGCTACCTAGTAAAAAAATTATCTCACTGTCTTATTTCTGTTATTATTTACTTAGCATTAACAGAAGAATGGCAGAAATCTGTGAAGAAAGAACACTGAAAAGTTGATATAATCTCGAGTTCAGCAAACTCCGAAATTCGCAGTTGCCAGAACACATTAAAGCAAACGGCAGCTTTGCGGGAATTTGGCTTTGTCGCAGAGATGTAGTTATGAAACGTGCTCATTGGTATGCGTGCCTCATTTTTTATTCTTTTTCTGTTTTATTCTGAAAAAGAACTCTATTTTTAACTAGGAAAAAAAAAAAGAGAGAGAGAGAAAAGAAGAAAGCAGAGAAAGGGAAGGAGAAAATTAGTGGAGTGCATGTGCTCAAACTGGCTCGTTCGTATGGTTGTTATCGTTCCCGGCTCCTGTCATCTCTTTTTGCTGCTTTGGTTGAGGTTTTGACGCGTTCACTTGGAAACTGGAGTGGCCTCGAATTCACCGCTGGCAGCAGCGACCGGCCGGAGCTGGGGCAAGGGCGCGGTGCGGGATGAGGCTCCCCCCCCGCCGGGAGCGCCGCACCAGCCCTCGTCGCGGGGCTCGTTCGATCTCTCGGTAACTTTCATGATATAACTGTGTTTTTCCCCACCCACCCCCAACCCTTCTTTTTTCCTTTCTTTTTTTTTTTCTTTTTTTTTTCCATGGGCGCCGATCAATTATTCACAAGCACATTTATCTCCCCTGCAATATGGAGAATTCATATTCATATCTCTGTTTTAGTGGCCTGACACTGATTAATGTAATATGCGCCGCGGCTCCGAGCGCAGCCCCGCTCTATGAATCATGCACTATAAAGTTTCAATCGTCCTTGTAGATGAGACTATTACAAAGAGCGCTGAGCGGCGGGGGCGGGGAGGCGGGGGCTGGCGGCAGCGATGGCTCTGCTCCTCGGCCGGCCACCGGCCCCCTGTTAAACAGGCTCGTATTGAAACTACCCGGCGGCTGGCGGGGGACAATGTGGGTCCGGCATTAGTTCCGCCTGGCGGGGCTCCCGCTGACGCGGGTCCCCTGCTCCGCCCGCCCGCCCGCGCCCACCGCCGCCCGGCCTCGGAGAAGGGACTGCGGGGCTCTCGCCCCGTCCCCGTCGGCCAGGCAGTGGCGGGAAGAGCCGCGCTGGGCCTCTTGGCTTCGGAGGAGAGGTGGACTGCCCGGTGGCCACCCAAAGGGACGAGTACCCTCGGGCGGGAATGGGGCTCAGGCTGCCCCGGGGTGTGCCCTGAGGCTGGGCACCCGCACTATGGCTGGAGAGGGAAGGCATTGAAGAAAGTCTCCATTGCCTGGCTAGTTTCAGTGCTGTTAGGTTATTTTT